AGCGAGACATGACCGCCGCGGGTGGATCAGCCTCCGGGAATGAAGCAAAGTAGGTCGGTGAATTTACTTAAAAAAACAAAAAAAAAACCCAACTTTTTTTTTTAAATTGCTTGTTTCTTTTATTTGGGTTTCTTGCTGCTTTCCTCGCGTGACAGCGGCGGGACTTGGGGTCCCTGCCTGCTTCCCGGCCCCCCGGCTTGACGGGGCGCTTCTGTCCACCCGTGCTCTGTCCGCGGAGGTGAAGCTTTGCTCCTTCACGCGTGGTAGTGGGGACCCACACGGTAAAAAACAGCGCTTTTTTTTTGGCCGAAATCCACGCGGAGAACAGAACATAGTCCATTAGGAAGCTGTCTGTGGGCGAGTGTGGTGTTTTCCCTCACAGGTCAGCTTTGGAAAGGACCAGGCAACTTTGGAGGCTGGCGTGGTGCACCCAAATCAGACCTTTTATTATTTTTTTTTCTTGAGGCTTAGAGTCTGAAGGAAAAGAGAAAAGAAATCTCCATGAACCTGGGTTGTGAGTCAGTGGCACTGCAGAAAACATTATGGTCTGCTCTGATAGAAAAGCACTTTGGATATTTAGTGTTAATTATTGACACAGCGTTTTATAAATAGAATTTCTAATGAAAACGCTGAGAACCCTTAACTACCAAGTGTGGCTGTAAGATGAAGGAGTTTTGAGTGCCGGGTAAGTACAAGGGCTCTGCTTACAGCTGCATGTAAGGAAAAACCAACATATGTTCGTTAGTGAAAAATAACGAGGGAAAGTGTTTATCAAAAATGCTTTATTGCTGACTTAAAATCAGGAATATTCATGCAACTTAAGTGTCTCAAAGATGCAGAAGAAATGCTGTGGGATCCCTGCCTTTGTCTGCTGGATGCTGGTGAAGGGAACCTGTCCTGGAGCAGCGCAGATGTTTGCGAAACGAGGGGGGAGCTTCAGGACCATCAGGAGAAATTGTACAGTTTGGAGAAACCCATTAGAGTTTGGGTCTCTCTGTATGTTCCATTTACTCTGAAGTCCTCATTAGTAATGTTTACTAATACAATTGACAAACAAATGCAATCAATTCCATGCCCAGGAGGGCTGATTGAGAACCACTGGTCTTGCCAAAACTAACAGGACTGGAAAGCCCTCAGCACCCTTAAAGAGCAGGCCAGAAGATGCTGTTCGTAGGCATTACTACTAAAATATTTTTATGCTTTAGAGAGATCTGTTAAATATTTAAAAACAGCTCTAGCAGGGTGCTTGCAAAAGTCATGGACAGTTTGTATGCTTGCAGTATTATGTTCCTGTTTCCCATTAACTAGCAGCTGCTGCTGTTTTTTGGGGGAGGGTGAGAATAAGAAAAAGAAAAGAACACCAGACCCTGTATGGGGAATGAGAAATAGGAAAACAAGAACTCCTCTGATCTTGCGACATTTACTCATTTAGACTCTTTGTCCCTGTAAAAATCGGTGAGAATTTGGCGGTTCAGTGGTGTCAGGGCTGTGCTGTGCCCAGGGCGGGTTGAGAGCCTTGGCACTCTTAAGTCACCAGTGCCACCCTCTGTTCACTGGTGATCAGACTGGACCAGCCTGGTACTGCAGCCTGCTTTTCACACCAACCCCTTTGTTTTTGTAGTTCAGAAAGTAGCCGTGCAGAAATGTAAGTTGTCAAGACAAGAAACTGAAACAAGAAAGGCAGCTTCAGAAGGAAAAGGAAAACTTCCAGCCTGTTTTCCATGCCCAGTGAGCAGGTGGTGGTGGATCCCCAGCTGTGCTTGCTTCAGGCTGTGCTGGAAGTGTTTCCCATGCTGCCATGCCAAGGGATTGTACGACATCTCAGCCAGCCTGTGAAGACAAATGATCTTATTTTTTTATCTGCTGTGTTTTGGTTTTAATCAGCTGTTTTTGTCAAGGCAGGGACGACTCTACTTGCTCAAGTTTTTTGCACAGTGAGTGGTTAGCATGGAAAGTAGCATAGTATTTACATATGAAATTGGGCAGGTTTTTGTATGGTGGTTTCATAGTGCAGTATCTTCAGACAGATAAGTTAAAATGAGCCCCAGTTCCTTTCATTTGTATGGATACTTTCCCAGCCAGGCGTAGAACCATTTGTCCCTGCTGTGTTCACTTACTCTCTCAGGGATACAGTTATAGTTACAAGTTTTGATAATTCTCCTTTATTAATTCTCTCTTCCTATTCCCTGTAAGTGTTTGTGTTAAACTTGTATTCTTTCCTGCAAGTTAGGAATTGGGGTAAATTCAGTGTTCTCATTAGAAAAGATATTGGGTGGTCCTCTTTGGTCTGGTGATACATTCATGTTGTCCTAGGAGTTACCTCTAGGTATCTCTCTACCCAATTCCTGTGTAAAGTTTACTCAGGGGTACTGAAGTTTGAACAGAAAAGTTGCCAATGCTGATGGTGTGTAGCTGATGCTGCTTTTTCATTTTTTGCTCATGAATGTTGTTGGAACCAGGATTGACAACTAACACTTGTAAAAATCAGAGTAGATCCATGCAATAGAAGCGTGAAGAGAAGATATCTTGAGCTGGTCTGAACTATATTTTTGGTTTCTGGTACAAATATTGTTAATTTAGTGCTGATATCAGAAACTCTTTGATCACTCTATCTGGTCGTTTTTATGGCAGCAGAAAGTGAAAATGCCGTTATCTTCAGCAAACTGCATCATTATAACTTTACTTCAGAAAGGAAAGAATGTGTTCTGGGGATCTATGGTTGCTTTCTTTAGGTATTGCATGGGTGAAGCTAACACAGGAGCTGTTAACACAATTAATTCTTTGTCCTCTTACTTCCAGGAACGAATGAGGAACGATGTTTCACACTCTGCTTTAGCATACTGCAATGAAATATGTGCAGTTACCAAAATACTGGTTCTTTCCTTCAGGTATCTGGCAGCAGCAGGGCTAAGGTGCCTGGGTGGCAGCTTTTGCTTATTGCAGTATCTGTGATGGGCAGGCAAGTGGTGGACCATAACTTTATGGATTATTTAGAGCCCCCGATGGATGTTGGACATTTTTTACTTGTTTTGAAAGCAAGAGCTTTCAAGCATTTTCAAGAGCATCCGTGACATATGGGTAACTTCAGAAGCCTTTGAAATATATATCTGAATTTCTTGTAAAACATATGGAGGTGAGCTCTGCCAGTTCCCTACTGAGAAGGGGTTGGGCTATGAACAGTGAATTATTGTTGCACCTGTAAAAGAAGAACATGGGCTGTTTTTCATTAAGCTATACATTTAATAGTATGAATAGTCTATGCTTACGTGAAGTGAATTATTTTAAAAGGCTTTTTTTTTTCTTTTAGTCAAATTTGGAAAAAAACTAGGTTACTTTGATCATAGGCTTTTGGAAATAATCCAGGCCTGTATCTTTGTGAAATGACAGACTTAATAGGAGGTTGTAGGTAGGTAATTCCTCTGGCCTTCATGGCTCCTCTATTAGGAACTCGACTAATTGAAGAGGTACAGGTAAGGTGGACCTCCTAACAGCTGTGCTGAGAGGCACATTTTCCTCTCAAGTAGGGGTTGTGAAGCACTGCCTCTGAAATTTGGAGCTTTCCTCTTGAATTGCTCAAAATGTAGCTTAAAATGTACCCCAATTATAACCTGGGTGAATGGGGAGAAAAGTGGCTGGGACTGACTCATCTTGTGGCCCAAAATGGAGGAGGTCTGTGCTGAAGAAATGGCTTGGCTGAATTTGCCAGGGCTTTCCTGGTGGGGAAAAAGCTTGCAGGGAGGCAAAAATACTGAAATATTTTAAGTTCATGGGTCAGTTGTCTGCTGCTTTTGGTAGAGAGCTGTGCCTATTGAATCCCCTCAGGGTCACTCCCAAACTGAAAGACCAGTGGATGACACAGGCATCATTTCTTTTGGCAGCATAGATGTTCTCAAGGAAATTGTGCTCAGAAATATTTAAGGAATGAGAATACTTTGGAGAAACTCCCCAAATCTTACTTCTTGCCCCAGTATTCTCTGTCTGACTTGAGCTGTCAATTCCAACACTGTGGAATTGATCCAGCTGTAAATTTTACTCGTCGTTCAGTTCTAGTTAACTGCAACAGCAGCAAACTCTCTGTATTTTACTCTGATGTCCTCTACTGAGCTTTTTTTAACGTATAAGAATGCTTATATGTGGGGCTTAACAGAATTTAGGTGACAGTAGGATGAAAACCAAAAAGAGCAAAGTACCTGCAATTACAGAACAGTATTGAAATATTACTGTAAAGTTTAGTGAAGTCTTCACCACTGAAATGGGTGCTCAAGTACTTTTGTTTATGTGGGACTTTGAAGGTTGAGTGGATGTTTTGATTATTTGGATTTGTAGTGCTTTTCAGATGACCAAACCCAGAAGGTGAGCAGTGATCAGCGAATGCCTGGAGAAATGCAGTATTACACAGCTCTAATGGTGCAAGAAGAGCTGTATTGCTATGTAGTTGATATCCTGAGCAATGTTTGTTTTCCCTCAAATGACATTCTGATTTTGTTCTTCCTTCTGCTTGCAAAGGTGTGAGTATCAAATTAACTGAAGTGCACCTAAATGAAACCCTAATGGAATAATAGACTGGTAATTATCAGCTCTCAGTTAATTTTCTGTATGTTTTTCAGATCAGCTCTACAAAACAAGATGTATTGGCAAATCATTCTAACCACACTTGTGCTATTGGGTAAGTCACTAAAAGAACAATTCTGCTTTTCTAATTGGGAAGTGTCTGTAACGATATTGGTGTATGGTGTTCCAGGACAGCTGATACTTGCCTTTCATTTTTTTGGTTAAAATAAGAACTTATTTAAAGATTTTTCCTGGTGATGCTTAAGGAGAAAGCACATGTTGTGATACAATGAAGTTAGTTTCAACACTTGCGTCACCTTGTATCTTCAGAAAAGATGAACAGATCATTAGATTTCTGTATCTTTTTACACAGGTGTACGTCTACATAAAGATACCTCTATATACATATCCATGTACATATACATACACATATACATACACACATATACATCTTTCTTTTACATTCTATATATGCACCTTTATCCACTCACTATCAACTACTGTGTTGTTGACATTCTTCATTTAAATACTTTGTGTAATCTAAACATATTGTGCACCTTTGTATTAGAAAGCCTGTATACCTCAGGGAGTTTTCATTAGGCTTCAGAGCAGTTTGTCACGATCTGGTGGCCTGCAGTGACTGAAAGCCAGTGAATTTATTGAGTGGCCGTCTCCGTCTGGTTCCAAATAGGCAAATAGCCATGGCTGGCATCTTTGTGCTGAATGTTCTGTATTGTAACGCATGATAGTTATTTTATTTTTTAACATGTCTGCAGAAGCAGTAAGTAGCTGCACACATTTTGATTTTATAGGATTTAATTAATCCTGTGAGATTGTATGTTATGATATGCAGTGGGCAGTGGTTTCTTAGAGAAAGAGGTGGCTGACACGGTGAGTTGGGTGGTATGTTGGTTGGCTGTCCTGCTTCCTAGGCAGTCGTGTCACTCATTTGTCCTTTTTAATCAGTTATTATGGACTAATAGTCTGTTTGTCAACTGAAGCCTCTGCATGCAGGCAGGAGGCCCAATGAAGCTGGTATTTTCAGAAGCACAAACTCTGTTAAATGAGAGAGGAGGAAAGAGCAGAGCCCTTCAGGAGTCTGGCAGTGCAAAATCTGTGTAAACAGAAAACCAAACACTTTTAACACACGGTCTGCTTTTAAGGTAGCATGCATCTACTTTTTAAAAACCTTTCGTTTTGTTTAGCTTGTGCTTATGTGCTATTAATCAAAAAGTGCTAGAGAAATTCTGTTTTTCTTATTTTGACTGTTGCATGCCATAGAGCATGAATTAATTTCTGTCTAATGAGCTGCTTAAAATATTTATGCATTTACTGAGTGAAAAGCTAAATGCAAAGCGCACAAATGACCCACATGCCTTTCTGTAGCTACAGCTCTAATCTCTAAATTGACACAGTATTTTACAGTAAGCTGTTTCCAGAACGGACGTGCTTATTCTCAAAATCACCGTTAGCGTAATTCAAGCTATGACTTAGCAACAAGAACTACAAATGTGGTCACAGTGATTGTACTTTGACGAATCAAAGTCTGATGGAAAAGATCATTCTTTTCCTACATCTCGTTTCCCTGGGGTGGCGTAGTCACATCCAGTCATCTATTCTTGTAATCCTGTTATTTGATATTTAACAGTTACAGTGTGACTGTACGTTATATTTACAGTTCATTTTTTCTACCGTAATGGAGCCGTGTTATAAGTGCTGGATTGCAAGTGTCTCAGCACTGCAGGGGAGATGAGGCTCATACCTGTGTAGCATGTGAACTTAGGTTTAGGATTCACTGTATTTTGAATTAATATAAGCAAATTTACCCCAAAGAGATGCTTCCCCTACATCGGCCATTCCCTTTTCATTGTCAAGTAATATGAACTTTTCCTTTTATTTCCATTATCTTTGCCTTTATATTTGCAGACTTTCTTCAAATGGCAGATGCCCATTGCATGGTCCATCAGGTTCCTCCCAGGAACTTTACATTTCCCTGTATGCTGCTGAACGAGACAATTTTAAGCCCTTTCTCTGCTGGAGCTGTAGAGAGCTGGTCTGGCTTGAGGAGAGTGCGTGGAGCATCTGAAACTGAGCCTCCCTTGCTGATGGATGAAGAAAGGTTTCTGTGTTGTCTTTGGAGTGATAACAACATCAATTGCTCTTTGTACAGAGGGAGCATGCAAACAAGAAAGTTTATTCCTTCAGAAATAAGTATCTCTGCTTCTCAGGAAATGGGTAGGTTTCGCATTCAGGGGCATAAGAAGTTACTTCTTCAAAAAACGGGTATTTTTTGTTATTTGTGAGGAGGGGGGGTGGGCTGTATTAATGGATATTCATTTTTATCCAGAGCAGACAACATAGTACGGTAAAATCCATCCTCGCTGTAGTGGAGGATGAAGGGAATTGTATAGAGCAGTTTCAAAGGGAATAAAAAAGTAGTCTGTGTTTCTGGGGGAATTCTGAACAAAATATGTAGCCTTGTATATGAAGATGTAAACCTCGATCTTCAGAGGTGTTTAGATGCTATGAAAAATAGTTGAAATACTTTTGTGCATATGGGCTTTGAACTCCTACAAGAGGTGGAGGAGATGGAGAGCAAGTGCCATCTTCTCTGCCAGGATTGTGATGCCTTGGTAAATAGCTGTCTGTGGATTAGATGTAATTAAATTTTCCTAGGCTGTTTTTCTCCTGTAAACCACAGTCTGAGCAGCACACTGGCCTGTTGGCGGACTGCTATCAGTGGCAGGAATCTCAGTGACCACAGTGGGGTAGGATTTCGTTTTACAGGAGCTGTCCCATGGAACAAATAAATCTCTGTTAAAGGCTGCCACGCTGAATTTGTTGCTGTTGTGTATGCATCACAGCCGCAAACATGTGCCTCTCTTTGTGAGTGAATTTTATCCTGGCACTTCAGTTGTTTTGTTTTAATATAATTCAGAAATGTTTCATCCCTTTCTTTTGCTCAGATTCAAATTGGAACATTGAATGTTGGATTAAAGGCAAGCTGGACCTATTAGTTTGTAGCCTGCGGTTTTTGAAGTTGTACTTGAGAGCCGACTTGAAGGTTAATCTTTTATATGCTGCGTAAGTACACACTCTGTTAAATTTTGTCACTATTAGCATTAGAAATCTGACAGCATTTTCTAAAACATCAGCTTTGGTCTCTCAAGCTTGCAGCACAGTTGCAGCATTAGCTTTGCAGGCAGATGATAGGTTATGTACCTTGGTCTTATCTAAACCTGATCTTGGACAGTATGGAAAGTTTGTGTTTCTGTCTTTAAATGAGAAATGGTTGGAATGAAGACTCCACTCCTCAATCATATTTCTTAAAATGCTTGAATGAAATCAGTGTTGAATTGCTAAAATATCTTGATTCTCTGGAATGGTAGTAGATGTTTATTGTCCTGACCGGGGTGGGCAGGTCTTGTATACATGACCTGCCTGAGTTGATCATAAAAAATCTGTTTGATTCCACTTACGAAAGCTCACTGTTTTTTCTGAATTACTGCTACGTTGGAAGGAATGACCTGAAAACACAGATCTAACTTCCTTAGGAAACTGGCTAAACATAAACAGTTGAATTAGCTGGGTTTATAGGTGATGACTTCTACTTGAAAAGCCAGATACCGCTTGTCACAAATGATCCCTGTAGTCAGATTAAAAAGCAAGTGTATTACCTGGTAATAAATGTGGTGGTTTAGTTGACATAATACTTCAAAGCTGAAATCCCATTTTGAGTGGGTTCCCATTTGCAGCGTTCCTTATTGCTTTGATTTCTGAAATACCGTTTCATGTGTGTTTGTGGGAGCAGATCTGACTTTGCCTCTGGTCCATCCAGTAATCCTAGTGTGGTAATCTCTATATTGTATTTCTTTGGAGTGCTTAACAGCCATGGAATAACAGATTGGAGTCCCAGCTGGGATGAAGAGTTTCTTTGTATTATTAAGGGAATTCAGTACATGTCATGCAGTTTATGAGAGCAGGCCCTATAGACTCACCAGAGCCCTTGGGGCATTTCTGTATTTGATTACTTTTTGCCTCAAAGGCGAGATGCTGTGCAGTCCTTGACACTGGAGCTCTTCTTTCACTCCCCAGGTTTCCTATTAATATTTTTCTTTTTGGGTCCCTCTGTTCTGGGGAAACAGCTAGCAAAGCATTTCAGATTTTGGTAAGGTGACAGGTTTCCCTGTTGGCTTGCTGATACCTTCACATTTTATTCACATGAGCCAAAATACCTTGAAAACGTTCCCAGCTTTAAAAATATGCATTCCTGGCATGTGTTACTCCCTGGGAGTCTGGAGATCAAGCCACAGCTCTCACATATGGGACAGGCAATGTACAAAAATAATGACATAGAAGAATTTACAGCAAAAAAGCTTGGGTTCTCCATAGTTTTTAATTTTTCCAGCTTTAAAGAAGTATCCTCTTGTTTTACACATCCACAGGGGATACTTTTAAAGGATACCGGGCTACTTTGAATAGAAGATATTTTATTCTGTCAAAAATGGTCCTATGACAGCATTCTATCAGAGGCTCAAGCAAGGGCAGTGATGTGGCTTTTACCTCCCCTAGCAGCACATCTTTGGGAGGAGAAAGATAATTCTGAAACTTAGACAAATTAGGTTCATTGTCTACCAAAAGGGAATGATGTTTGCAGTGTTATGTATTCTAGGAATGCTGTAAACCTCGATGGTTAATTCCATTAACTAAAATCTCTTGGCCTTAGAGGTCCTTTTGTAGTGACACAGATGAATGGTCCCAGTTTAATTTTGAGCACTGATTATAATTTGCCCTTTCCACAGATGGGGATGTATGGGGTGTACTCTTATTTCTTTCCTATTTGAAGTACCTGTGAGGCTCTCCTTTAGTTCTGGGCTTAGGCTCCTATGTTTTTAAGGACAAATCATGCAGTTTGCCTCAAAACTGCTGCTTAGTTGAGTGCATCAGTTACACATTGAGTTTTCTTCAGCTGGAGAACATGAACCTTTCATTGGAAACTTCCCCTCTCATGAGCGAGGCAGCCACCAGATATTCTGTAGTTTAATGGGGTATCTTGTTCAAATAACTATTGTCCTAGAGCTACTATATATCAAATATCATTGTAGAAGTTCATGTATTTCTCCCTAAAATACTTTTGATGTTTTCTTTTTTGTTAGGTGCTCCACTTGCAAGAAATTAATTGAAATACAGTAAAGACATTCTGTAGCTTCTAACTTAAAGCCTAAAAGCTCACCATAGTTGAATTTAGCATATGAAATACTGCCTTTCGAAGCATGGTTGAATTGTGCACCAAAATGATAGACATTTAGGAGGTGTGAAGGTGTTGACCTTAAGAAAGGAAAGCTTTGGACGCATCCCTTGTTGTTGATTACTTCTGTGTTCAGGGCATATGCAGTATTTCAATTTTTGTTGCATCTTCTGCAGTGTCTTATGCTTTAGTCCCCTGTTTCCAGCTTAAAGTCACATTGTCATGCGCATTGTCCCTCTCTTCTCTGCCAGCCATTAAAATTCGAGTCCAGATCACTGGTTTTCTGTCGAATCTCGGAGGTGGGCTCTGGTGAAATGCTCACAGGAGTTCATATGTTTAGGATCGATCTGGTTTTTGCTACCTCTCTCTGTGCCAAGACAAATCTCTCCAATTCCAGCAGCCAGCAGTATAAAACTGAAGAACAGAGAACACAGTATATATGCATATATATTTTATAAGCCCTCTGTCTTGCCTTCTCCCCACCACAGTTTGGATCTGGCTTAGATATGATGGCTGTTGCAAGATGCAAAATGCTTCTTGAACCAGGATTTAAAGCTCCTCTCAGCACGCTGCAAGTCTGATGGAAAACTTCACTTTTTAATAGCCCATTGATTTGTTTTAAGTTTACCCCAAATTTCTCCTCTTATTCTACTAAATGAAGATAGTCCTGGTGTCTTGCCAGTTGGTGGAAGAACAAAGCTTGTTACTGTGTTTCTTAGTATCATTATGCAGGTGGTTTTTTGGGTGCAAACAAGCTCAGTTTCATGGTTAAAAACTGAAGTAATTATTAGGAATGATTAGGAGAAAGATGGGGGAGTGGTGTGCTGGTAACCGCTTTCCAAATAGATCAGATTAAAGACATGGTTTGATGAAAAGACTTATGGATTGTTTGTGGTTTTTTGAGACTAATAAAGTCTGTGAGCAACAGCAGACAGCAGGGAAACTTAAAAGAAAATTCTGCGAAGTCTTTGAAAGGAAACTCGGGAGGAAGAAGTGGAGCCACGACTCTAAAAACAAGTAATACTCCAAGTAATTTAGAGTCTGTGTGTCTGCCAGATACCGTCAGCATCAGATTCCACGATTCCCATGTCCTAAAGTCTACAAGTCCTGGTAAAAATTGTTGTGGGAATGTCAGTATTGCCTGACTGTAACACTAATAGATGTAAACTATGTTTGCATATGAACCTGCAGAGCACGAGTGCGATGAGGGCATCATGTTCTTGAAAATCCATGTATTACCAGCTTCAGTGAGTTTCCTAAACGCAAGGTAGGCACTTAATATGTGTGTTGATCAGCAAGTGCTCTACAGTTGATTACATTTTCTAGATTCCAAATTGACTAAAATCAAAAAAAGCAGAAAAATCATCTCCTTTCTTCTCCTCCAGTGTAGAGTTCTCTGCCCTCCCTGAATTAAAGTGTTACAGTGAGTCATACCAACTGTAAAACCAACTAAAACTTTTATAGAAAAAGGTTCTTAGTCTATTAACTTCAATGTCTTTCCTTGAATTAGTAAAAAAACCCCCTTACTAGACTGAAATAATTCCAAAATTACTTCAGAACAATTCAAAACATAAGCTTTTTTTATAAGGATGAAATGTCAGGAAGGAAACCAGGATGGTGTGGCTGTCGGGATTTGTCTTGGCTTTGCTGCTGTGAGAAGTTTGGCCACAAAATATTCACAGTATTACATTCACTGACTTAAGAGATCTGTGTCACCGAATACCTGCAGCACATCATGGAGGTGTATCTGTGTTTGAAAGAGCCTATGGAGTATCTGTGGAATGAAAGTGAGGATGAAGATTGAAAACACCTATACAAGAGTACTCGTTTGCTCTAAACTTGCCAGTAAAGTGTTCATGAAACAGATATTATTCTCCACTGTGAGGTAAATTAACTTTGTGTATCTAGTAATAGTTACCGTCAGGATCCAGAAGTTAGTCTGAGTAAACTAAAGGTGTCATCCAGTATTGTAACACATTTGTTTTAAAGTCAAACCTTAGGAATACTTTTCATAGTAATATCTCAACTTCTTTACTTTGAAACCGTTTAAAAAGGGAGAAGTAAAGTAAAAATAATTGGTTACAATTACTGCCTTTTGTACTTCTTTAATTAGTATTTTTTTGGTAAATAAACCTTATCCAGATGGCCAAGCCTCCTCTATTGAGATACAGGAAGAAATACTGGTTTATTTTCTCTTATGGTTTGTTTTTTCTCCTGTAGATCAGAACTGTCGCTGGGAGAGGACTCTACAAGCTCCCTGAAGGGGATGGTCATGGTTGCTGAGTGCGACTGTCATGAGTACGAGTGCGAGTGCTGCGTGCCTTCTCCGAGACTCAACCACACGTACATCATGTGGCTGAAGGTGACGATTGGTGTAATGCCTCTGTGGTCACCTTTGATGTCAGTCAAGCCCATAGACATCGGTAAGTCTGACCTTTTCTTACCCCTTTTTTAATGGAGAACACCTCCTTTTTCAAAAAAGCGGGACATGAGCCACCAGTGTGCATCTGCAGCCCAGAGGGCCAATCGCATCCTGGGTTGCATCACAAGAAGTGTGGCCAGCAGATGGAGGGAGGGGGTTCTGCCCCTCTGCTCTGCTCTGGTGAGACCTCACCTGGATACTGTCTCCAGCTTTGGAGTCCCCAACACAAAAAGGACAGGTCCAGAGGAGGCAACAAAGCTGATCTAAGGGCTGGAGGCTGAGAGAGTTGGGGTTGTTCAGCCTGGAGAAGAGAAGAGAAGAGAAGAGAAGAGAAGAGAAGAGAAGAGAAGAGAAGAGAAGAGAAGAGAAGAGAAGGCAAGGCTCAGGGGGAACCTTATTGCGGCCTTCTAATACCTGAAAGATAAGAAATGTGGGGAAGAGCTGTTCACTAGGGCATGTAGCAACAGGACGAGGGGTAATGGTTTTAAACTAGAAAAGGGTAGGTTTAGGTTGGATATTAGGAAAAAGCTCTTCCCCATGAGGGTGGTAGATCACTGGCACAGGTTGCCCAGAGAGGTGGTGCAGGTCCCATCCCTGGAGATATTCAAGGTCAGGCTTGATGGGGCTCTGAGCAACCTGCTCTGGTACCGATGTCCCTGGTCACTGCAAGGTTAGACTGGATGAGCTTTAAAGTCCCTTCCAACCCCACACATTCTGTGATTCTATGATTTTTTAAGAAGGGCACAGACAGAAGACGAAGAGGCTTCCTATTGCTGTCTCCCAGGCTCAGGGCGATGCTGAACACGTTCCTTGGCCACCCAATGCCTGTCTGGGCCCCAGCACAAAACCACACTGAGCAGAAGCCAGGCTCTCAACATACTTGAGCTTTTATTTCCAATCAGGACCTCTCTGTGCCAGAGTCTGAGGCAGCGGTGGATTTTGTCTTTCTGTGTTGCTGAGGACTTAAAAAGTGAGGGGAGAGAAAGCTGTCCCTAAAGTTTCTTAGCAAATAAAACCACTTCTTTTCTTGAGCAGCTCTGTTAACTGTTATCCTGATGCTTTCTTCCTCACACATACAGTAGCAGCGTGTTTCATGTTGGAAAGCACTCCTCTGCATTTAATCAAGTTAAACTATACTGACATTATGGATTTGATATGTGTTGCTGCCCAATATGCAGAGTTATTGCAGATCTTGGCAAATTTCAAAAAGGCAGGGACTTGGTCAGCTGTGGGGAAGAAAACAGAAATTTTATAATTTTTTTCCTAATTGATGTGCTTTGCAGAAAGAATAAATCAAAATCTCTAGGTGGGCTAGTTCTGAAGCTGAGAGGCTGCGTGTGTCATCATGCTGCTTTTAAGTATGCTACAGGAAAATAAAAATTCAGAGTTGCATCTGCCAGTGTTCAAAATGACTTAGTTTGTTCTGCTTAGTGAAGTATATTTTAAAAATGCATAATATTAGTATATGTTCTGCCAAGATTTAGCTCAATTAAAAATTATTTTGAAAGTAGAGCTATGAATACTTGAGTGATGCAGGGTTGTACTTGCTTATAGATGGGATCGGTAGAGCAGGTGGCATCAGTAGAACAGATGGCATCAGTAGAACGGACACCATTTGTATTGTGAGGTTTGCAAAAGTACGATGTAGAAGTTTTACTGACTGTAGTTTTAAAAGGTGCACCTCCTAACATACCACTAAT